CTTTGCACACTAATCAAAGCATTTCTTTATATTAGCCGAATTATATTTACTTCTTTTTATTTTGAAATAGTTTTTAAATTATTTATTACTTATAAAAACTTATTTAATCAATTTAGCAATTGTCTTGATTATATAATCGTAAAAATTAAAAAAAATTAAGGTTAATAATCAAAAGAAAATTATTAGATTTTATTAAAATATTTATGAAAATATCTATATGTCAATATTGAAAATTTTATTTAAACATTATTGAAAAATGATATTTACGTATCTATAAAATTTTCCTAAATATTTGAAAAGAGACGCTCACTGAGACAATATTTTTGTCACTCTGTCAATTCCAATATTTATGAACTATGTGATTCACAATTAAGTTGCAGGTTTAAGTTTTGTCTTAATTATAATTATTTTTTACTTAAAATAATTATTTAAATGATAGTTTTTATTGAATATGTATTTTTTATTTTCTCTAATATAAAATTTTTTAATGTAAAATTACTTTTATATCAATAATATAAAAATTAGCATATTCGGCAGATGGAATCTTAGATCTCGTCTAAAATCCTGTTTGTCGATTAATGCCATCTATTATATTGTGTTCGTTGAACACATTCTCGGTTTTTACATTGATTGTTTATTAATATTAATATTAATATTAATATTAATTACATTTTTACCTTATATAATATAATAATGTACTAAATACAATTTACAAAGAGTATCATAAGGTGCGGTCCATTTGGCGTTACAAATGTTTTAAGCATTTTTTGATTGAACAATTCATAAAATTCTTTATTCTGATTGGTCAATCAAACGCTTTGAAGTATTTGTAGCACCAAGTGGACCGCACTCATAATTTCAAGAAATTATTAAAAAAGGTAACATTTCGCTTTTTTTGTTAAATATTAGCAATGATTAAGAAAGCAATTTTATATTACAATTATAAAAAAAATAAAGAATGCAAAAAATTTCCATAATTTTATTAGTGTATATCTGTAAAACATTTAATTTTGTAAATTTGATTGATAATTAGAACTCGACTCATTGGGATCATTTTATATATAATTAATTCATGTAATATATATAAAAAAACGGATATTATTTTATATTTTGTGAAATCCTCTATATTAAATCTGCCAATATAGCATAAGAGAAAAATGTGATTTGAATAGAGCTAAGAAAATATACTACAAATTTGTTACACACTGTGCAAAAAACTACACAATGCACATGCTACAATATATAAACATGTATAAAGTAGAAAACCAAAGATTTGTTCAGAACCAGCAGAGGTATTCCATTAACAATATTTGATATCACTAATATATATATATTATATATGTACATATAAATATCACTAATATATATATTAACAATGTTTATCAACGTTTAATTATTAAGAAAATATGTGTATGCATGTTTTTCCTTTCTCTCTTTTTTCCTCCCTTCTCTTCTCTTATTTTATATATATAAAAAATACATGCATACATGCACATATACATATACACATATACACGCATCATGCGCACATATACACATATATACATACATTTTTTGATAACTAAACGCCGATAAACATTGTTAATACCAAGCATGGAATACCAAAACAGATGGCTGGTATAGAACAATTATTTACATTTATCTCATAATTTACAAAATACAATTTCTGCTATCTAAATTACATTGTATGTTATAAGAATTTTCTATTTCTTTTTTACAGTCTTCATTTTCACTACATTCTTTGTAGCTTTTGTTGCTTTAGCCATTATCGATTTTCCTTTCATTTGCATCTTAACATCGCCTTTAGGCACTTTTTTCATTTTCATGCTTTTAACACCACTTTTGTTTTCTTTCGCTTTAACTTTGGTAATACTTGGTATAATAACACCGGGTCTCATACAATTAGACCCGGTTGACTTATACTAGGCCGTTACTTTCACTTTCTTTTTTCGTTTTTTCTTCTTCTTATCATGGAGTAATTCCTGCTTTTTCGCTATACAGAAGCGACAATACCAATCTTCGTCTTCAGCCGGTGGAACCTGCATACCAACACACACCCTAAAATATAAGAAATATTATTAATTTAATGCTATTTAATTATTATAGCTTTTTGCAGGTAAATGTACACTTATATTTTCCTATTAAAATGCACTTTCTCTCTCAATTGCAGTTTTATTTTTAACTATTTCTCTCTTCATTTCTTTTTCTTAAAGAGACTAAAGTTTTCAAGTACAAGTTTTGATTTAATCTAATTCTAACACTTATACTATTAAATATAACAAGTTATTTACCAGTGATACCACGCGTCGCAATCATCGCAACCGATCATTGGAGAACCGTCATCCTGATTGCCACATGCAGGACATATCCAAACCTGACGACCTCCACGATCCTGTAACACTCATCTCAGGATAAACAGAATTCTAGAAATTTTTCTAACCCAACCCATCTCTGACGAATTCGCTCTGAAGTTTTGGAAAATTATTCGACTATTTACCAAGAATGAATTCATTCAATTGTTTATTTTGATAGAATATATTGAAGTTTCTCAACAACGTACTAACTCTGCAAGAATTAGCCAGTGAAGATATTTTCAATGCGTGTCAAGATATTTTGTCATGCTGTCCATGAACATATATATTCTCTCTTATTAAGAAAAAAATATTTTAAGAATAACAAGATGTAATACCATATCATAATGTTTTTTCTTATAAATTGCTGTAAAAGTTATAAAAACTTTAAATAATGCATGATATATATATATATATATATATATATATATATTACAATGAAACAATGATTTATGATAGTATGGATCGGAGATAAACTTGTCTCTTCTTTTATTATCCAATTAACACACATATTTTAAAATTATTAATATTACATCCTAACATTTTATCTAAATCGGTCCTAATAAAATAGTAGTAAGTAGTTTGCGAATGCATTATTTCTGTATTTATATTTTTATAATGTGACAACACATCGTGTCATAACTAGTGTGTCATGAAATATAAAAATCAATTTATCCATAGCACCGGCGCACAGAAAAATGCTTTGCAATGTTCTTTAAAAGAGGTGTAAAGCGTACTCACCACAGTAGTGGTTGGTGTTGTAGGCAACATGTTCCTGCCATTCTCTTTGTCTTCTTTAGCATCGTCCTTTTTAGGAACTGGATCTGCTTTCACCTCTGTACCGTTAAAACCGTCGGTTATATTCCTAACGGGTCTTTCATGCTAATTTCTTTTTACGCAACGTGCAAATTTCATGCAACGATTTGATTTTATATTCTGTTACATTATCTTTTTAATATTCTCTTTGCTGATTAATATTTTATTAATAAAACTATATATATGATTGCCGTGCAAATGTATCGTTTTAAATAAAAAGAAATGAACAAGAAAAACTATTCTTTTATCATTATATCTTAATGTTAATCTTAAATCTGATAAATTCTCATAAAGTTTAAAAATAGAAAATATGACAATAGTTACATTAGTAACTTAACTTAAAAAATGCATGCTCTCTAATGCTACTTAGTCAACAATCAAGCGGCAAATTTAGAAGTAACGCACAAGTCTTAATTATATCTTGTAACTATTTGTACGTAAAGAATATACAAGTATGCACTAGTGTAACTGCTTTGCTAAATAGAGAAGAGAAATTAATAAAAAGCATGAGCTATTATTAATTAACATAAGATAGATATATTGTAAAAGAAATTACTTTCTTTAGCGTGTACAGAAATATTAAAAATAAGTTGTGTATTAGTAATTGGTACTACTCAAACTTCTAAGTTTGTATATAAGTTTGATAATTAAAGTAAATACCATCAGATTGATACTAATAATTTAATTAAACATT